GGGATGGGAGCAGTTCACAGCCCCGTGGATGGGCATTTCCAAGGCAGGACAGGTCACAGCTGAAAGGCACAAGGGACAGCACAGAGCTTAGCTTGCAACAAACCATTAAAAGTATTTTTATTTTTCTGAAACTTAGGAACACATCCAGTAAACAGGAGCAGCTGTAGAAAGGGTTCTACTATGCCACCATCTCAGAAATCAGATAGAAGGGGAAATATTTTTAAATGGGAAACTGGCTCTTCAGACATGATTGTTAATTCATCTGCAGCTCATGACAGCAACTATTTACAATCCAAAATTTCCCTATTTTGACTGTTGCCGGGTGACTTTTGATGCTTTCATTTGCTTAGAAAAGTATCTCATTCTAAGCTAAACACCTCAGAAAATTATTTGTACAGTCAGGAGTAACTGGCCTGTTGAGAGCTGTCTCGCACCTAGGTCATCTCAATTCCCTGTTTCTACCTAAGAGTTGGAAAAATCTTTCCCTGCAAGAACAATGCCAGAACATTCATCCTACTCATCTCACCTCCTCAGGAACAGAGACCTGTGTGCTGAAATAAAACAGCACCTACACCACATAATGTGTTGCAAAGGAATTGGCCAAACTTCCATTTGTTCCTGTTGCCAGAGCAGCACTGAGGTGTACAGGGCCATGTGCAATGCAGAACGCTCACCTTTGCATGCTGCAAGGGGGGCAGACCAGATCCCAGAAGAGGTACAGTGGACAGATTCCAGTGCAGTCAGCTCATAGCCCTCCTCACACTGAACTGTGCAGGACGAGTTGTAGCTGAAGTCCCCCAGTGGATGGTGGCACTCAAGGCTGCCATGATCAGGTTTCTTTAGTGGATCACAACTCTTAACTTCAAAGAAGCACAAGAAGGTACACAGTCAGTCTCCTTAGCTGAGCAGGTAAACCAAGAAGCCAAATTGAACACTAGGTAGCGTGAGTTGGTCAAAAAGCAGGATGAAATAATCTTACCAAACTCGCATTCAGGCCCATAGAAGCCAGGGTCGCAATGGCAGGTGTGGTTGTTGATAGTCTCTATGCATTCTCCATGGCCACTGCAGAGAGATGGGTTGCAAGAAGCTGGAAAAAAAAAAACAAAACAGGCAAATTATGAAAGAAGCAACAACAGCCACTAAGAAAACCTGGCTAGCACTTTATCTTTCTGACACTAAACAACCCTTTGTATAGCAAAAGAAAATCAGAGGGTTTGGTATTTAGGATTCTCCTGTCATTTCACAGAATTTCTGAAGTGCACATGTTTTACAGACTAGCTCACAGTAAAAGGATTCTGTTGGCTGGGAACTCCAAGACCACTTGTTCTGGGGTAAATATTAGATGAAGTTAAAAAACTCATCCCAGCCACCACCTAAGATCCCCAGGGTCACGCTGGAGTGACCTTTGTCATGCTGTACCTGTGTAGCACAAGGCAACCTTCTTTTTCTCACACTGCTCATCATTCCATTTGCCATCATCCTTCCCTCTTTTGATGTAGATCTCAACGCAGTCCTCGTTGTTCCCTTTGCCATTTGGCTCCCCTGAAGCCCAGTTTCTTGCTTCTTCTGTCAGTTCTTTGTTAGTTCCAGTCCAGGTCCATACGCCATTAATTTTTCTGATTCCAATCCAATAGTAACCCGGATTGAAGGGTAAGAAGGCATTGAGGTGCTTGATTTCCTCCTTGTTCTGGATTGCAACCAGGTTAGTATACTTCTTTCTGCACCACTGCTCTGCTTCCCTGTAGGTCATGTTTTTGTCTGAATAATGGTATGTCCACCCTTTCACGCCCTGCAGCACTGTAAGTCCTAGAATGAGAAAATATCCAAAAGTTGGTGTCTAACTTCTCCCCTCATCTCTCTCTAGAAGAGGACATTTAAGCTCTATAAATACTGCAAACTTGTCAGTATCTGAAAATGCATAAAAACTACTGGTAATTATTTTATAAACAATCACCTGGCAAGCTTCAAACCAGGCAAGTCAGCTTCAAGTACAGGACTTCAGCCTGTGAAACTATGTCTGATCACACAAAGCTTTGAGACTTATAGGAGCCAATTATGGCTTTGACAGGCAAGCAGGGAAAACGTGCCACTGCATCCAGAGGTTCTTCTGTGTGAACATAGCCTCAGGTTAATTACGGCAGGTTCCAAAATTCTCTTTGATGCTGAGCTCAAACAAAACAGTCACACTAATATTGCCATCCCACTAGTTTTTCATACAGAGAAATACACACTTACCATAGGTAAGAAGAGATAGGAACTTCAAGCAAATCATGTTTCTGAGAGTTTTCTCTGTCTTTTAAGCAGATGGCTATGAGAAATCAAAGAAACACATTTGTAAAAAACAAATAGTGAACTGTCAAAATTCCATATAAAGTACTGACCATGCAGTGATGGAGACTTTAAAAGCACTTTATTCATGTTCCTGCATGCGCAGTGGAAATGGAGATGTTTGCAAACAGCAGGTATTCTACTTCCATGAAGCTCTGGAAAGTGATTCTGCCTTAGGGAAATGCACTGTGCAAGGAGGAATCATCTGGAGGAGTTTTAGGTACATGGGCTCCCCCAGATTTTTCAATGAGCAAAATTAACTCTGCAGAGCAGATTTTTCCTGAGCTTACACCTGAGGAAAGAAGTTTATGGTATGTACTTTTAAACAAGTAGGATTTCCACAAATTATTCATTTAAAAACAGTTTTTAATATCAAGATACTTTAAAATGTAAGCAGCTTTTATGGAAGATGAACACAGATTTCCAGTTCTCCTTTAGCTGGGCAGTGAAATAGAATAGCAGAGTTCATTTCTACTCACCTTTTGTAGCTGCAGTGTCCAGGTGACAGAATTCCTCTGCGCTGCTTCCCAGAGACTGTGGCTAAGTGGATGAACTCAGCCTTGAAAATCAAGTTCAGCTCCAAGTGTCTGGACTCTGTAATGCCCTGCCTTTTATCCCCTCAACTAGCCTGCCCTCCACGAGACGGGAAATTCCGTGTGGAAAAAAATTTCTTGGAAAATCCCAGGATCCAGCCCTCCCACACGTCAGGACGGATGTTTCCTCTTGCCAGATCAACCCTCCCAGAAAGACACACTGTGCTGACAGAGTGCCAAGTGCCACATTACACACTTTTACTGACAGAAACCCGCAATTCCAGGATATCAAGGAGAGGGAAGACAATTAGATTGAATTAAATGCATGAATAAGCAGATTCCAATATTTCACCTGGCATAATGTTTTGCAGTAAGGAGGCATCAGTTCTTCAGGTATCTCGGTAGGAAAGGCGCCAACACTCAAAGCTGGTTGACCAAGTTGGACCAAAATTGGAAACTTCAGCACAGGACAAGCCCTTCCTTATGGATCTCAGCTGTGCAGAGCTCTCATTTGTGGTCAGGTTGCTGGAGTTCTTCACAATACAGGTTCATCAGTCACTTGTAGCAGTCAAGCTTGAAACGTGGACCTTGCTTTGAAGAGTCCCTTGGACCATATTCTTCAATGTCCTGATCTCAATAGAGTTACAGCACCTGAACAGGTGCATATAATATTTCAAGTGGACAAGACAATACACTAGGAATTAATTCACATTTATTGTGTATACCCTGATTAATTATACTGCTGCATAAAACTTCACCATTATGGATGGGATTTAATGAGGCTGAATATGCAAAGAACTCAACAAGTACTGGCAGCACTTCACATCTGTAAAGCATAGTTTGAGTTTATACAGTGCATGTTGGAGCTCTGATTTTGGAGCCTCAGCCTGTTCTTACAGAATAAAAATCATTGGCTTCTGTATTCCAAGCTAACATCAACTGGTATTGCCCAATTTTACTGCCCAAAAAAGAAAGAACTGTCAAGTAGCCAAAGATCTCTGCCCATCAAAGAAATTATTTCAGAAAAGAGCATGGAATAAAGAGTATATTCTAAAACAGCCTCAGTTACTAACGAATCAGGAGAGCTGACTAGAAATTGCAACAAAGTCTAAGAAAGCAAGTCAGCTACTGAAGGGAGTGAGGGTTAAAAACACACACTGAGTATTTGTAGGCAGAGGAACAGTTTCTAGCATGTGTGAATTAGCAAAGTTAGAAACACAAATCATGAAACTCTGGAAAGCTGAAGTTAGCTTTTGGCTGGCCTGGGCAGGCCTTGCTTAGAAGCACCAGACATCCTGAGGCATCAGATCAGGGCTGCTGTTTATTTAGCCTCAAACTGGGAATGAAAACTCTTCCTGTTTGCCAGCCCTTCTCTGGTGGGAGGCTTTACCACCTGAAGGACACAGACAGAAACTTGTATTTTAATGCACCTGTCCAGCACATGATGCAGCAGAGCCTAATTTCAACATTATTCTACTACAAACTAATGTTAATCAGTCTCAATAAGGCAGGGGTTTTTGTAGTGTTGTGGGTTTGTTTTTTTTTTGTTTGTTTGTTTGGTTTTTTTTGGGTTTTTTTTTTTGTTTGTTTGTTTTTTGTGTTGTTTTGTTTTGTGTGTTTTGTTTTGGTTTGGTTTTATTTTCTAAAATATTGATCAGCTGTTATAACTCTATGCACAGAAAATTTACAGAAAATTTTAGGACAGTTTTTATGCTCCCAGGTGCCAAGAGGCAGAAAATGCTACACCTTTTCCTGAAGATTCCCTTTTGAAAGTCATTTAATGAACTTCCTACTGGTAAGCACTCATCCTTGTCATGGCAGAAGCTCTGAAAAAAGCTCTGAGGAGACTTCATCAGAATTCATTTGCCAGTGGAATCTCCGGAGGAAGGAAGAGTTTATTTCACAGTTTACAGTAGTCTTCCTTTTCAGGAGCTGTCTGAGACCTCTTGTCTCCAGCAGATAAAGCAAGCCCCACAAAAAATAACAACACACCAAAGCCTACAAGCAATATGCTTGTAAAAATTCCAGCCTAAAAAAAGACTGTTTCTTTTTGTTGGCTGTATTCCCTTGTGCATAATTGCCATGGGGCTCTTTTTGGTTTTTCCCAGGGAATTCTGCTATTCACTGATTATATTCTTATTTCCCTGTAATGTACTGGAAGATGGCGGCAAAATTTTCAGGAAAAAAGAAAGCCTGAAAATCATTCTCAAAACTCCACAATAAAGGTTAAATCCTCTTTATTAAAAGTCAAAGGCACTTAAAAACTTCAGGGGGACTGGGATTCCTATGAGCTAAAGCTCATCTTGGATGCTAAACTACATATATATTTCAGGAAAAGTACCTGTGATACAGTTACTTAGGTGGAACTGGAGATAATCAAGCTAAAATGCCATGCAGCATGAGCTTAGCTGCTTTCTGTGTTACTTATTTATTCTCTTCTCAAAGCTATTTCACATTCATGCTTTTTTATTCTTTTTCCCATTGATTTGGGAATGTAAGATCCTCATTTCTTATGCGGTACAGAGCTGGATGAAGTTGCTGCTCTCTTCTTATATTACATGAGCACAGACATAGTTTCTTAAATTTAATACAATTCCTCTCTGCCAGGAAAACAGGAGGCTCTAAAGACAAGTTTTTAGAAATGCTGAACACTTCTTGTTCCTATACACTCCAGAATTTCATTTGCACAAGTGAAGGCCCAGCTTTTTACAGGGAAATCCCCACATCACCTCTTTTCCCTTACAAACAGAGGTGCACTGACAATTATGTAGCCACAACTAATTTTCCAGTTGGAAGGTTCACTTAAGAGGCCACTATGAGACACAAAGGGTAAGAAAGGGCTATATAAACATATTAGGAAGAAAAACAATAAAAATCCAGCCAGGTCTGCCATTTAAAGGGCAGCAATTGACAGAGGACATGTCAAATGTTGTTTCTTTTTATATAAAGGAAAGTTAATATTCATGGCAATAGTGTGGGAAAAGAGAACAGGTCACATTATGGAGTGAAGACCATTTAGGTTGGTTACAACCAATCAAGCAACAGTCAAAAGATCCAAACCCTCAGTAATTAACTTTGAGAATATGAGCAAAAAGGTGTAAAAAGTTGGACAAAAAGCAAATGTTGCCTCTCTGTATCTCAGAAAAGAAGATCAAGGTAATTAGAAGCTGAGCCTTCCATGTGAGCACCTAGAAAAGACACTAGAACATTGAAAAATGTTAAAGAAAACCACTGAAAAACCAGCAGAAGGCTGCTAAGCTGTCGAGAACAGCGGACATTGATATGATTGATCTGTTCCTGGCAGATCAACCTGGCTTGTGCCTCAAGGCTGTGTCAGTAATAAAGAAACAATAGTGCAGTGTGGTTTGTTATAATTAAGATTTTTAATACCATCCCATGAGACATTCTTATGAGGAAACAAGTGAAACAATGCTTAGCTGAAATCACCATAAAATGAGCACACAAGGGATGGAATCACTACTCAAAAGGCAGATTTTCAAAGAACCCTGTCTGTCCTAGAGAACTGTTTTATTCCCACCCCACTGTAAGAAAAGGGTGCTGGAGAAAAGAAAACTTTACAATCTTCTAAAACCCAAAAGGTGTTTTAGAGAACTTAGGAGGCATGTGATCAACAAAGTTCCACTTGGTACATAACAAGTAGCAGTGGATTGATTTGTAGCGACAAAGTTTTAATTGAAAGTTTTCCAAAGAGGCCACGAATTGCTAAGACAGGGGTTTTGTAGAGTCTGCCTCTCTGTTGGAAATTTGTAAGTTTTGGTTTGAGAAACTTTTTTTTCAGTATCTCTATCAGTATCTCAATACTTTATCTGAAACTCTGTTGAACTTGAAGAAATCACAAATCCAAGACAAATACAGAATGTGGTGAGATCCCAGGTGAACAGAGTATATAGATGTACATTTGTACATGTAGAAAAAGACAGATATTAATTTCCCATGTCTTTTTAAAAGACTGGTTCTTCATCTACAAGATTGCATCTGCATTTATGTATCAACAGACAAAAACAGAGCTTTAAGAGCCTCTGAGTAATCCAGTTCCTTCTCCTAGAAGATATTTTTGTCATTCCTAAATTAAAACACTTGATAAGTATTTATCTCAAAGTGCTTTGTATAATGGATATTTATCCCATGGCAAAGAGTCATAGAACCACTTGAAATTTTGAAACAGTGGAAAAACCTCCAGCTTCGCCCACAGTAATACTAGGAGAGGAAAAGTAAGAGATTTAGCCAGCCTGGAGGGGGAAAAGGAGTTCTAGTGCCAGTAGGGAAGGTGTTTCCTGTTAGGAGAGGAGCTTGCAACACTTAATTCTTTAGTAATTAAGAGACAAAGGGTTTAAGGCACAAGTTTTCCCTGAGGTCCAGATGGGAAGAAAAGATAATTTCTGAAAACCGT